AGGCAGGAGGGGTGCTGTGCGTGGCTGTGGGAGAGGGGGCTGCCCCAACATGCAGAGGCTGCTTGGGCTGCCCCAGGGAGCCTCTTGCAAGAGCCCCGAGGGCACGGTGGGCTCCCTCCTAGCCTACAGCTGCTCCTCAGCGCTCGGTCGCTGGCGCAGGGCTGCCTGGAGACCACGGAGCCTAGTTATCCGTGACACACAGCTGCCTGGCTAATTATAGCGCCTCGGGCACCCACGGGGCTCGCCGGGGAGGGGAGGGGCTCCCCGCGGGGGCCCAAGGGAAAAAGCCCCTAAGGGCTGCAGTGAGAGGGTGCAGGGGAAGGGCCACAGAAGCCACGCCAGTCCCACACCAGGGGCGTGCTGCACTTCCTAAGGACCTTTGGGGCCACAGCGAGGAGGGGCGCTGCTCCCCATTTCCGTCCGTGGGGAGGGCTCCCGTCTTCTGCACCCCTCCTCACTAGCTGTGGCTCAGTGCTGTGCAGCCGTACACACGCGGTGCCGATCCCTGCCCCAAAGAACAGTGGGTCCCCGCCCCCTGGAGAGGCCCTGGCTGGACAAAGCGGCTGTAGCCAGCGAGACGGGGCAGGATGTGGTAACAGAGAAACACTGTAAGCCGCATGGCCAGGACTGGTTCCCAGCTGTAGTTTGGGGGAGCGAGGCTTCTTTCCTGCAGACAGCTGGGACGTCCCCAGGAAGTGGGAGAACACCCTCCGTCAGCACCACCCATGCCCCACTCCCATCTTGTCTCCCATGAAAACTAAGGGAATTGACAGCCCAAAACTTGGCTAGGGTGCAGCCAGAGGTGGAGAGCTGTATGGAATGTCACCAGCTGTTAGATCAATGAAAAATAAAGTTTCAACTTACAAGAAGCCCCAACATTTGAAAGCATGGGAAAATCCCAGTTTAGGGAGACAAAACCCCCTTAACTCTGCCCCCTGGAGAAGCTCAACTCAGACCATGCTGGCCATATGAGAAACATTATAGAACCACCTGAATTCCAACACTTCTCTTTCGCCCATGCCAACTCCAGCCTCTTTTACTGATACGCCGCCAAGACCTCCTACAAGAAGCCCCAACATTTGAAAGCATGGGAAAATCCCAGTTTAGGGAGACAAAACCCCCTTAACTCTGCCCCCTGGAGAAGCTCAACTCAGACCATGCTGGCCATATGAGAAACATTATAGAACCACCTGAATTCCAACACTTCTCTTTCGCCCATGCCAACTCCAGCCTCTTTTACTGATACGCCGCCAAGACCTCCTGCATGCCCGCTCCCGGCTTGAGTAATGAGCAACCCTTCAGTCCCCTCGCCTCTCCCTGGGAGCAGGCCTGTGGCTGCGGGGGGCGCACCTGTCGAGCACAGGTGGGACCATGCCGCCGGTAACAAGCCGAGCTGCTGCGGGCCCCGTTGCCGATACCCCACCGTAACACTTAAGCTGTAGCCTTCGGCCTGCTCAGACTCCGGAGGGAGGAGTCCTTGATCCCAGGCCAACAAGGCTTCCCAACGAAACACAGCCGGGACGATGGGCTTGCTAGAATTGGTCTCAGGCTGGCTGGGGTGGGGGCGGCCGGAGATGCAGGGGGTCAGCCCCCATCCTCTGGACTCACCCCTGCGTTTCCTGCTTTGGAAATGTGGGGTTCCCTGGAGCCGAGTCTCGTTAGCCCCTGAACAAGCCACTCTCAGCTGGGTTTGCTCCTCAAGTGAGCCCCTTCCCCGAGGCCTGTGGCGGAGGCAGACGGCACCCTAACCCACACAGCCCCAGGGAGGAGGCCGGGCACCTCACTGGGCAGCCGGGGGCCTGGGAGGAGAGTGACCAACGTTGCATAGTAAGTCAGCGAGGAGAGGGAAGCAAACCCTGACTCCCAAAGCGGCACCTTACCCAGACCTCCCTTTCCTGCCCCGCCCCAGTCTTCCCCCGCCGGGTGCCAGTGTGCCCAAGGGCCCAGCGTGCTCGCTGCTCTCTGCCGGCCAGCTGGTGGGGAAACTCCCCCTCTCGCCGCCCCCTTGCAGCAGGGAGAGCAGGACCCGCCCAGCTGCAGATGTATTCCCTCGGCCTTCACCTGGCTGCGGAGGAAGGGTGGCTGTGTGCTTAGGCCCCGGGCTGGCGTCGGGGAGCTGCAGGCTAATCCCCACCCAGTCCTCCTCAGCACCTCTGGGGCACCCCAGGAGTGGGCAGCTCTCTGTGACCAGGTGGGGGGCTGGCAGCTGCTCTGATGTGCGGCCCCGTGGGGCCAGCTGCCTGGTGGGAAGGGACAGTTCCCAAGTGCCCTGGGCAGAGTCCTGCTCCCTTTGTGTGCAGGCAGCCGGACACAGGCCTGGCGGCTAATCCCCACCCAGTCCTCCTCAGCACCTCTGGGGCACCCCAGGAGTGGGCAGCTCTCTGTGACCAGGTGGGGGGCTGGCAGCTGCTCTGATGTGCGGCCCCGTGGGGCCAGCTGCCTGGTGGGAAGGGACAGTTCCCAAGTGCCCTGGGCAGAGTCCTGCTCCCTTTGTGTGCAGGCAGCCGGACACAGGCCTGGCCCATCACCGTGGCTACACAGACGCTCGCC